CCAATGTTGGGACAATATCCCCTTCCCCCACTGACAGGGCACTTTACCCCCCCCCCCCCACACTGACACCAACGATGGGGCACTATTCCTCCCCCCACTGACACCAATAATGGGGCACTATTCCTCCCCCCACTGACACCAATAATGGGGCACTATTCCTCCCCCCACTGACACCAATAATGGGGCACTATTCCTCCCACTGATACCAATGATGGGGCACTATTCCTCCCACTGACAACAATGATGGGGCACTATTCCTCCCACTTACACCAATGATGGGGCACGATTCCTCCCACTGACACCAATGATGGGGCACTATTCCTCCCACTGACACCAATGATGGGGCCCTATTCCTCCCACTGACACCAATGATGGGGCACTATTTTGCTCCATTAGACACACTTGGGGGGAAATGTCTGTGCGTCTTATGGAGCGGCCGGCCCAGTATTCCCGCCGCCATTGTATGTCTGCAGTCTCTGGTCATCTCCTGTACTGTGTCTGCATTTGTTCATAGTTTTTTTGTTTTTTTTTTAAACTATAATCCGGCCCTCCAACGGTCTGAGGGACAGTGAACTGGCCCCCTGTTTAAAAAGTTTGAGGACCCCTGATATACAGTGAAGGAAATAAGTATTTCATCCCCTGCTGATTTTGAATGTTTGCCCACTCACAAAGAAATAATTCGTCTAAAAATCAAATGGTAGGTGTATTGTAACACTGAAAGACAGAATAGCAACAAAAAATTCAAAAGAAATGCATGTCTAACAAATTATGCACTGATTTGCATGTTCATGAGGGAAATAAATATTTGATCCCCTTCACAAAACATGACTTAGTACTTGGTGGCAAATCCCTTGTTGGCAATCACAGAGGTCAGACGTTTCCTGTAGTTGGCCACCAGGTTTGCACACATCTCAGGAGGGATTTTGGCCCACTCCTATTGGCAGATCCTCTCCAAGTCATTAAGGTTTGGTGGCTGACGTTTGGCAACTCAAACTTTCAGCTCCCTCCACAGATTTTCAATCGGATTAAGGTCTGGAGACTGGCTAGGCCACTCCAGAACCTTAATGTGCTTCTTCTTGAGCCACTCCTTTGTTGCCTTGGCTGTGTGTTTTGGGTCATTGTCATGCTGCAACATCCATCCATGACCCATTTTCAATGCCCTGACTGAGGGAAGAAGGTTCTCACCCAAGATTTGACAATACATTGCCCCTTCCATCGTCCCTTTGATGCGGTGCAGTTGTCCTGTCCCCTTAGCATAAAAACACCCCCAAAGCAGAATGTTTCCACCACCATGTTTGACAGTTGGGATGGTGTTCTTGGGGTCATAGACAGCATTCCTCCTCCTCCAAACACGGCGAGTTGATTTCATGCCAAAGAGCTTGATTTTGGTCTTATCTAATCACAACACTTTCAACCAGTCCTCCTCTGCATCATTCAGATGTTCAGTGGCAATCTTCAGACGGGCCTAGACATGTGCTTTCTTGAGCAGAGGGACCTTGCGGGCACTGCAGGATTTCAATGTCGATGTAGTGTGCTACCAATTGTTTTCTTGGTGACTATGGTCCCATCTGCCTGGAGATCATTGACAAGACCCTCACGTGTAGTTCTGGGATGATTCCTCACTGTCCTCATGATCATTGACACTCCCCACGAGGTGCAATCTTGCATGGTGCACCTGACCCAGGGAGATTAACAGTTGTTTTGTGTTTCTTTCATTTGCGAATGATTGCACCAACTGTTGTCACCTTCTCACCAAGCTGCTTGGCAATAGTTTGGCAGCCCAGTCCAGCCTTGTGTAGGTCTACAATCTTGTCCCTGACATCCTTGAACAGCTCTTTGGTCTTTGCCATGGTGGTGTCACGTGCCTGATAGACGTCTGAATTGACGAGGTCAGCCTCTCTTGTATTTCCAACCCAGGTCCCACTGAAGGTGAAACAGATGGTGCCGAGGGACAGGAGAAACACAAGTGCCTGTGGATATTGATTGTGGAACTTACAGCTGGTGATGTAACCTCGGTAAATCAGACAGGGCATCCAGTAAGGAACAGAGGATATGCCGGAACGGCAAGCTGAAGTTAAGGAAGCACTCCAGTGTAACTGCAAGATCTGGGTACATGGCTTGCCGGAACTTCTGATAAGCGTGACACCGTAGCAACCGGAGCTGATGTAATGACAGCCAGGACAGGCACTTGGCAGGACTGTATAGCCAAAACTGGAACCGGAAGCGTAGTCAGAGTAATAGCCAGGGTCAGCAATGAGCAGGTGATGAGGTACCGAAACATCAGACAGGGACAAGGTCAGGAGGAAACCAGGATCAGAAACCGATGAGCAGAAGCATAAACAGAATCCAAGAGCAGGTCAATGGCAAGCCAGGTCAGTAACTGATATACACAGGATACAGCAGGAAACAGGAAGTTAGCTGAAGACCAGTCAGCACTGACAGAGAGTAAGAGCTTCCTTTAAATAGTCTGTCTGGCGCCGGAAACAGTGGGCACATTCCCGCGTGTGTGCACCCGTGTGCGTGCATTTCTGCGCGCATGTGCGAGCCTAGGCTCATTTCTATTAGCCAGTTGCCGTACAGGAATTCCCTTACAATGCCCCCCCCCCCTTAGGGGCAGCCTCCAGATGCCAACCATAGTTGAAGATGAAGACGGAGGTAAGTCTGCACCAACCGTGGAGCATGAACATTAGAGGAAGGTTCACAAGAATTATCTTCTGGGCCGTAGCCTTTCCATTTAATGAGGAACAAAGTCTGACCCCCCCCCCCTTTTCCTGCAACCTAGGATGGCTTCAACCTCATATTCTTCATTTCCCTAAACAAGCAGTGGAGCTGGAGCCTCTAGTTCCCGATCAGGAAATGGGTTTAAAATAGTCCGTTTTAATAACAAAACATGAAACACAGGGTGAATTCTTAAGCTCTCAGGCATAGTTAATTCAAAAGCTAGAGCATTATTCCTCCTCTTTACAGAAAAAGGCCCTATATATCTTGGTCCCAATTTCTTTGAGGGACAGGCCAATTTTAAGTTAGCAGTTGATAGCCTTAACTTATCTCCAGGTTCTAGATCCAGATTACCCCTCTTCTTCTTTCTTCAAAAAACCTTTTATTGTTTGCTTGAGATTTAGCAATGGCTTCTTGTAGGAACTGGTTACTGGACCTCCAAAATTGCAGACGTTCCTGAACAGCTGGTACTGAAGATTCTTGAGGCAAATCTGGCAGAAAGGAAGGATGAAATCCATAATTTGCAAAGAATGGTGTCTGTTTCGTGGTAGAATACACTGAGTTATTATAAGCAAATTCTGCCAAAGAAAGAAGAGACGCCCAATCATCTTGTGCAAAGGAAGAAAAACAACACAAGTACTGTTCTAGGGTCTGGTTTGTCCTCTCCGTCTGACCATTAGTTTGTGGATGGTTTGCCGAAAGACAGAGAATGTTTAATGCTGTCAGGAATGGACTTGCCAATGGTGGTGGGACTCACCTGCCTTGTGGGCTGCAGTACCAAGGTTGGCCAGCGGGTGCTCTCAGCAGCCAGAATCTCACTCCTGCAATCAGGCCATCACCTGAGGCTGATTGCAGGAGGTGTATTTAAGCAGGACCAGGCCTGTGATCAGTGCCTTGGTATATGTTTCCCATGAGCCCCTGTACCTTGTATCCTGTGTCCCTGTTCTGCCGATCTGATTTGTTGCCGACCCTGCCTGATCCTGACCTCTGCTGACTTCTCCTGCTTGATCCCTGGCTCGTTTGACTACCTCTCCTGGACATCCCTAATCTGATCTGAACTCCTGTTACCGACCCTGGCGAGTGACCCGACTACTCTTCTGCCTGCTGCCTAGTACCACGCTTACCCGCTGTTACCGACCCGGCCCATCTGACCACGCTAATTACTCTGCCATCCATCCATCCTGCACGGATCCAGCCATCCCGGCTCACACCTTCTGCCTCTTCACATCAGGCTCTCTACCTGCATATACCTCTGGCGGTACCCTCTACCACGAGCAGGTGTACTCAGGGGCCGCGACCTGGTTCCTGTCTGCTCCAAGTCCATCCCCACCATCAGGGGCCCTGGTGAATAAGCAGACTGGGACTTAGACTCCGCGCCCTGGGGAATCCTGTCCTGAGGACTGCTAGAGGTACCACCAGATGGTTGTTAACCATACGGCCGGCATGACCATTCCAGCTCCCCAGCCCTGACTACGCCTGTGTTCCTGCACATACTAATATTAGTGGAAGTTTGGTGTGTTTACTGTGCGTTTTTATATATTTGGGTGGCTAATAATAAATTATATTGTTGTTATATCATTCCTGAAGCCTGTTACTTCCTTGTGTCAGTCCACACGTTTCTGGTCACACCCGGGATCCCTGACATTACACCAAGGCCAATCCTGACCAGAAGTGGCTGCACAGGGAAGAGCAGGGATGACTTTTTTTCACCATTTAGTGCAGATCAAGTGAAATCACTGGTATGGTTGTTGGAGGATGATCCAGATTGCTTCCTTGAACATTATGCCACTTGTCCCTCACATGTGCTTATGGATTGCATAAACGCAGTGCAGTTTTTGGTCAGACAGGCTATGTGTAAGCTGAGCTTCGTTCAACCTGTATTACAGACATGGTCAGACTTGTTACACCCAGCCTCAGTCAGCTTGCAAAGACCCAGTCCTACTTCCAATCCATTTTTCCAAAGCTCTATTCCTGCATCCCTGACAGCACCTCCAGTTCCAACCCAGTATACCCTGCTATCTACCACATGTCAGTCCCCTGTTGCCACTCGCTGCACCTATCCTGCCTTTAACCCTGTCAAGAAGTCATCTGTAGCAACTGCTCCCTCCTCTGTTCCATCCTCCGGCTCTTTTCTGTCTGCAGCTGCTCCATCCGTTTATAGACCTGCATTTACTTACAGTGCTTCAGTAACTAAAACCAAGAAGAAGCGAAAATTCTTCCCAACCAGTACCATCTTGCCAGTATCCAAATCGGTCAGCCTGCCGTCTGAGAATCCGCCTTCTGTTATCCAGCCTGGTGCCTCGGTGCCCACTGTTCAGCCTGATGCCCGGATGCCTGATGACCCAGTGTACCCGATCCGGCCGGATGATCCTACCCAGCCTGATGATCCTATCCAGCGTGATGACCTGGTGCCCGCTACCCAGCCTGATGGCCCGATCCAGCCTGATGGACAGATCCAGCCTGATGACCCGATCCAGCCTGATGACCGGTGTTCGTGATCCAGCCTGATGACCCAATCCAGCCTGATGACCCGGTGCCCGTGGTCCGGCCTGGTGCCTCGGTGCCCGTGGTCTGGCCTGGTGCCTCGGTGCCCGCTGTTATGCCAGATGACTCGGTGCCCGCTGTCATGCCAGATGACTCGGTGCCCGCTGTCGAGCTTCGCGACCCGGTGCCCGCAGTTCTGCCAGATGGCTCGGTGCCCGCTGTCCTGCCAGATGGCTCGGTGCCCGCTGTCCTGCCAGATGGCTCGGTGCCCGCTGTCCTGCCAGATGACTCGGTGCCCGCTGTCCTGCCAGATGACTTGGTGTCCGCTGCCCAGCTTGGTGACCCGGTGCCCGCGGTTCTGCTAGATGGCTCGGTGCCCGCTGTCATGCCAGATGACTCGGTGCCCGCTGTCGTACCAGATGACTCGGTGCCTGCTGTCGTGCCAGATGACTTGGTGCCCGCTGTTGAGCTTTGTGACCCAGTGCCCGCGGTCCTGCCAGATGGCTCGGTGCCCGCTGTCCTGCCAGATGGCTCGGTGCCCACTGTCCTGCCAGATGACTCGGTGCCCGCTGTCCTGCCAGATGGCTCGGTGCCCGCTGTCCTGCCAGATGACTCGGTGCCCGCTGTCCTGCCAGATGACTCGGTGCCCGCTGTCGAGCTTGGTGACCCGATGCCTGCGGTTCTGCCAGATGGCTCGGTGCCCGCTGTCGTGCCAGATGACTCAGTGCCCGCTGTCATGCCAGATGACTCGGTGCCCGCTGTCCTGCCAGATGGCTCGGTGCCCGCTGTCCTGCCAGATGACTCGGTGCCCGCTGTCCTGCCAGATGACTTGGTGTCCGCTGCCCAGCTTGGTGACCCGGTGCCCGCGCGGTTCTGCTAGATGGCTCGGTGCCCGCTGTCATGCCAGATGACTCGGTGCCCGCTGTCGTACCAGATGACTCGGTGCCTGCTGTCGTGCCAGATGACTTGGTGCCCGCTGTTGAGCTTTGTGACCCAGTGCCCGCTGTCCTGCCAGATGGCTCGGTGCCCGCTGTCCTGCCAGATGACTCGGTGCCCGCTGCCAGTCCTGCCAGATGGCTCGGTGCCCGCTGTCCTGCCAGATGACTCGGTGCCCGCTGTCCTGCCAGATGACTCGGTGCCCGCTGTCGAGCTTGGTGACCCGATGCCTGCGGTTCTGCCAGATGGCTCGGTGCCCGCTGTCGTGCCAGATGACTCAGTGCCCGCTGTCATGCCAGATGACTCGGTGCCCGCGGTTCTGCTAGATGGCTCAGTGCCCGCTGTCCTGCCAGATGACTCAGTGCCCGTTGTCCAGCTTGGTGACCCGGTGCCCGCGGTTCTGCTAGATGGCTCGGTGCCCGCTGTCGTGCCAGATGACTCGGTGCCCGCTGTCGTGCCAGATGACTCGGTGCCCGCTGACTTGCCAGATGACTCGGTGCCCGTTGTCCAGCTTGGTGACCCGGTGCCCGCGGTTCTGCTAGATGGCTCGGTGCCCGCTGTCGTGCCAGGTGACTCGGTGCCCGCTGTCGTGCCAGATGACTCGGTGCCCGCTGACTTGCCAGATGACTCTGTGCCCGCTGTCGTGCCAGATGACTCGGTGCCCGCTGTCGTGCCAAATGACTCGGTGCCCCCTGTCGTTCCAGATGACTCGGTGCCCGTTGTCGAGCCGGGTGACTAGGTGCCCGCTGTCGTGCCAGGTGACTCGGTGCCCGCTGCCTCGCCTGATGGCCCGTTGCCCGCGGCCTCACCTGAGGGCCCGTTGCCTGCTGCCCAGCCTGATGCGCGTCTGCCTGCTGCCCAGCCTGACGTGCCTCTGCCTGCTGCCCAGCCTGACGCGCCTCTGCCTGCTGCCCAGCCTGATGCGCCTCTGCCTGCTGCCCAGCCTGACGTGCCTCTGCCTGCTGCCCAGCCTGACGTACTGGCTCCTGATGCCCTGCCTGCTTCTGGACATCCTGTGTCCAGCAATCTGCCTTCCTGCGGTTTCCTACAAAAAGATAGGCCTATCAGCAGGAGACCCAGCCAATCGCTTGATTCCGGCAGTGGGATGTCCAGCCAGTTGCCGGACCCAGGCGGTGGAACATTTGGGCCATTACGGACTGTTTGGAGCATCTTGAGGCCGCTCCTTGAGGGGGGGTACTGTCAGGAATGGACTTGCCAATGGTGGTGGGACTCACCTGCCTTGTGGGCTGCAGTACCAAGGTTGGCCAGCGGGTGCTCTCAGCAGCCAGAATCTCACTCCTGCAATCAGGCCATCACCTGAGGCTAATTGCAGGAGGTGTATTTAAGCAGGACCAGGCCTGTGATCAGTGCCTTGGTATATGTTTCCCATGAGCCCCTGTACCTTGTATCCTGTGTTCCTTTTCTGCCTATCTGATTTGTTGCCGACCTTGCCTGATCCTGACCTCTGCTGACTTCTTCTGCTTGATCCCTGGCTCGTTTGACTACCGCTCCTGGACATCCTAATCTGATCTGAACTCCTGTTACCGACCCTGGCGAGTGACCCGACTACTCTTCTGCATGCTGCCTAGTACCATGCTTACCCGCTGTTACCGACCCGGCCCGTCTGACCACGCTAATTACTCTGCCATCCATCCATCCTGCTCGGATCCAGCCATCCCGACTCACACCTTCTGGCTCTTCACATCAGGCTCTCTACCTGCATATACCTCTGGTGGTACCCTCTACCACGAGCAGGTGTACTCAGGGGCCGCGACCTGGTTCCTGTCTGCTCCAAGTCCATCCCCACCATCAGGGGCCCTGGTGAATAAGCAGACTGGGACTTAGACTCCCTGCCCTGGAGAATCCTGTCCTGAGGACTGCTAGAGGTACCACCAGATGGTTGTTAACCATACGGCCGGCCTGACCATTCCACCTCTCCAGCCCTGACTACGCCTGTGTTCCTGCACATACTAAATATTAGTGGAAGGTTGGTGTGTTTACCATACGTTTTATATATTTGGGTGGCTAATAATAAATTATATTGTTGTTATATCATTTCTGAAGCCTGTTACTTCCTTGTGTCAGTCAACACATTTCTGGTCACACCCGGGATCCCTGACAAATGCCCAACACTTCACATAAGAATCTCCAGAACCTGGAAGTGAAATGTACTCAACGGTCAGAGGTGATGTTACTGGGGACACCATGTAGGCGTACTAGCTCCCTGATGAAGGCAGATGCAGTCTCTGCAGCAGGAGGAGTTCCTTTTTAAGGGCACAAAGTGGGCCATCTTGGACAAATGATCCACCACCACAAAAATGTTGGTACATCCTTCTGATGGGGGTAACTCCACAATAAAGTCCATGGAAATCATGCTCCATAATTTGTTAGGTACAGGATGCGGCTCGAACAGACCCCAATTCTTAGTCCTCTTAGTCTTATTTCGTAAGCATACGGTGCATGATTTAACATAGTCCCTGCAATCTTGCATCAGGTCTGGCTACCAAAATGAGTGAAGAATTAGATGTGAAGTCTTTTGAACTCCAAAATGACCTGCCAGAGGATGATCAGGACACATATAAAGAATTGCTGTTCGAAATTGCTCTGGAACAAAGATCTGCTCACCGAGGAAGTAGAGGCCCTCCTTGAGTTGGAGACAATGTTCTTGAGGTGGGGGATGATCCAGGACTGCTATCTTTATCTGTGATACGAGATCAGCTTGTAATAACAAGAAGTTCTGAGCAGGTAGAATTGTGTCAGGTTCAGGAGGCACCCTAGTATCTTGAAACATACGAGAAAGGGCATCAGGCTTTCCATTCTTTGACCCAGGCTGATATGTAATATGGAAATTAAACCTAGAGAAGAAAAGTGCCCATCTGGCTTCACGGGCTCTTAGCCGTTTAGCTACCCCTAAGTATTCAAGATTCTTATGATCTGTGAACACAAGAACAGGATGTGCTGCTCCTTCCAGCAAGTAACGCCATTCCTCCAAAGCTGATTTATTCGCAAGTAGCTCCCGATCACCTACATCATAGTTCCTCTCCAGGGGACTTAACTTTCTTGAGAAAAATGTGACAGGATGGAGTAAGGACTTAGTTCCCTGTCGTTGTGACAGTATGGCCCCCACGGCATTCTCAGAAGCATCCACCTCCAGGACATATGGCAATGCAGGCTCTGGATGTTTAAGGATGGGTGCAGATGTAGAGAGAACCTTCAGTCTTAAAAAAGCAGCTTGAGCCTCTAAAGTCCAGGAAAAAACTGTCCGTTGTTTTGTCAGCTGCGTAATCTGGGAAATGACACCGGAAAAATCTTTAATGAACTTTCTGTAAAAATTGGCAAACCCCACAAACCGCTGCACTGCTTTCTTATCAGTGGGGGCCGGCCAATCGAGTATTGCGGACACCTTCTGAGGATCCATGGCAATTCCATCTGCAGAGATAATAGTCTTTCAAATTCACATTTTTCAGGCTTTGCATAAAGGTGGTGTTCTATTAACTTGCTTAACACTCTTTTTACATAGACCCGATGGATCTCTAGTGAAGCAGAAAAAATTAGAATGTCATCTAAGTAGACAATTAATGAATAAGTCCAGGAAGTCCCAAAAGATGTCATTCACCAAGTGCTGAAAAGTAGCTGGTGCGTTACAGGGACCAAAGGGCATCACAAGGTATTCAAAGTGCCCAAAGCGGGTCTGGAAGGCTGTTTTCCACTTGTCACCTTCCCTGATTCTAATTAAATTGTAGGCTCCCCTCAGTTCCAGCTTGGAGAATACTCGTGCATCTCGCAGTCTTTGGAATAGTTCTGGAATGAGTGGCAAGGAGTATCGATTTTTAATGGTTATTTCAATAAGATCTCGGTAGTCCACACATGGTCGAGTGTCTTGTCCTTTTTTTCCACAAAGAAAATACCAGCCCAAGCTGGTGAGGTAGAGGGCCTGATAAACCCCTTGTCAAGATTTTCATCAATGTATTTACACAGCTCTTCCAATTCTAGTTCAGAAAGCAGATAAATTTGTCCAAAGGGAATTTTAGCTCCTGGTAACAGCTCAATAGGGCAGTCGTATGGTGTATGAGGAGGGAGAGAGTCAGCTTATTTTTATTAAAGACATCAAGGTACTCATGATAAACTGTGGGTACCAGTTTAGCGGTTTCAGAGTCTATATTGACATTGAGGAGTAATCCTCCTGGTTTAGGTGCTGCGGGGAGACAAAACTTCTTGCAGTAACTAGATTGAAAAGTCCCGTCCCCAGTGGACCAGTCGATGCAGGCATTATGAGCCTTCAACCATGGCTGACCCAATATCATTGGAAACAAAAGAAGAAGTGATAACATCCAGACGTAAGAACACAC